AATGTTTTACTTTCACTGTGTTTTACATTTGACTGTTAAGACCTGGAGCTAAGATGGCTAGCCACCGGTCCTAATATCAGCTGTTTGGGCTGATATTCAGCGGCCAATGTCTAGCAGACCGAGAGTTATTTAAGAAACATTACATAAATGTGACGGTGGTAGGCTACAGTAACAGCTCACTAAATCAAACAATGCGGTGCTTAAACTTTTTATACATTTTTTAAAAACATGATTGTCGGAACCCACTGTAGCTTTGAACTGTGACCACAGGGTGGCGTGATGACGTTAGTGCAACCAGTGGGAACGCAGAATGTTGGGATGAATGGGTGGATAGATGGATGGATGGATGTAGAGATAAAAAATAACATGATACCTTTGGGATGATTTAAAATGTTAATGTTTGTGTGTTCTACCTGTAATACTTTTTACCTTAAATGGACTGTAAGTCGTAATCTCTTTTTACATCACAATGAATTATTTTCTTTTTTTTTTTATAATTAGTGATCAATTTCCTTAAAGGGTACATTAAAGCTCCCTTCTTCCATTATTTGTATCCCTCCTCAAAACAGTAGGTAGCCCTTATGTTATTTACAGTCAGTTTTCCCATCTATGGGTGCAATGTTAAGGGTGCTCTAATTGATTTGTAGGGAAAATATTTTCAAAACTAATAATTTTCTTGTTCTTTGTGCTTAGATCGACTGTGATGTCATAGCGCTGATGGATGATGCAACTCTGGCAAATTACATCCCCTCCTATGGAGACCGAATTGTCCTCTTCAATTTCTGCAGGAGCAAACAACAACCCTCAAAAAGAAAACAAGGACTTCTGCAGAGGCTTCGTGAGAAAATGAAAAACAGAGAGGGAAATTCAACAGAGAACACCTCACATGAAAGAACAAGGCAGACAAAGAAGCAGAAAGCAACACGAAATGTGGAGATAGGATGGATCCATTCTGATGGAAAAGTAACCAAACAGGTGAGAGCGAAGCAGGGAGGCGGCACTAGAAAAATTCAGATGTCCGCTGATGCTGGATTAAATGATATTCTTCGAGAAGGAAAGAAACTGTTTTTTCCTGGTGGCATATCACCTAAGGGACCTGAAACAGATTTTGAATTTGAAGTTTGGGGCTTTAAACAGAACCACCTTACTGAAGACACCTGCCAGAGTATTGGCACTATGTATGAAGCAGCGAGGCTGACAATGTTGCGCTTCTACATTTCAACAAAGCTGAAAGATCCTGAAGAAGATGAAAGTGAGAAATCTGATGTCATATTTGTCTTGGAAAGCAATAGCAGTGAAATTAATCATTTGCAAGGGGTGGAACTCAGGAATAGTTATGCTGAAGTCCAACCTGGATTGGACAATTTAGATGATTCAGAAATCACTTTCGGTCCCATTCTTGATGCTGAAGAAGATACAGAAGAAACAATAATCTATGAGGGTTTTCTTGCACCACTCAGTCCAGCAAATCCAGAGGATGTAACAGCAATCACTGTACGTTACACTAACACTTTAAATGACATTATTAGTGCTTTTTCTGATGCTGAAATTATGAGAAAAACACTGAAAGTGAAACGCATACTTCCAGACAACAAAGAGGAAGCTGGCAGTGGATCAGGGATACTGAGAGATGTACTCACCTGCTTCTGGAATGAATTCTACGAGCGATGCACTCTTGGAACAACAGTTAAAGTGCCATTCATCCGCCATGATTTCACTGCTGAGAAATGGAAGGCAGTTGGGCGAATACTTTTGAAAGGTTACCAGGACTGTCAGTATTTTCCAAATAAACTTGCAATCCCCTTTCTTGAACAAGTGCTTTTCAATGGTGTTTACAGTGATCTTCAAGGGCACTTTCTGCAGTTTGTCAGCAGCCAAGAATGTGAGGTTTTGAGGGAAGCAGTCAAGAACATTTCTGCTGTTGACTTTGATGATCTTTTGGAAGTACTTGATAGTTATGACTGTAGAAAACAAATAACGGCTGAAAATCTTCCTACCATCATTGATGAAATAGCTCACAAAGAGCTTGTCCAAAAACCAATGTTTGTCATTGACTGCTGGAGGGAGGTCATCTATCCACATCTTTCCATTACTCCAGAGGAACTAATTAAGTTGTTTTCAGACCTGCAACCAACACCAAGAAAAGTCTGCCAACTGCTGAAATTTGAAGAGGATTTGTCTCCCATGCAAAAAGAAGTGGGAAACTATCTCAAAAGATTCATCAGAGAGCTGGATGACGTTAAAATTCAGAAGTTTATGCGATTCTGCACTGGATCGGATCTTATAGTAACAAATAGTATTTATGTGGAATTTCAAGATATGACAGATTTCACAAGACGACCAGTGGGACACACATGTGGAAGCATTCTACAAATAGCTGATAGCTATGAAAACTTCCCTGACTTCCGTTCTGAATTTAATGCAGTTCTTGAAAGCAATGTATGGGTAATGGACATTGTGTAGACTCTTAACTCTCCACTACATTCTAACTATTTATGCAGACTACAGCAGGGCTGTAAAAAAATATAGATTATACATTTTGAACTCATGAAAATGACTCCTCTTCTAAAAAAAAAAAAAAAAAAAAAAAAAAGAAAGAGATAATTGAACCCTTTGTGCCTGAAAAGCAGTTTTGGCTAAAATATTCCTGTTTCTTTTACTATGCCTATTTTCGGATCCTATAGTTGAATTTGTCAAGCACGAATGAGTTCACTGTTTATTACTGTAACAGGAGCTGTTTTCACCAGACCAAGTTCTCCAGATGCATGCTAGAAACTAAGCAGCAAAAAGAAAAAAATATCAGTTGATATCTATAAATTAGTATGAAGCTTTTACTTTGTTTTCCTTAATATTTCACATATTTTGTGACAGTTTGGCACAGACTCTTGTAAGTTAGAAGTAAGAATAATTAATCCAGGTTTAAATTTCTTTACAGCTTATGCAATTGTTTGTTAAGGTAAGTTGAGGTATCAGACTTCTTTTTTGCATTTGAACATAAATGAACATGTTTATGGCTTTTCCAGTATTGTCTAAATGTCTAATTGATTCTAAGCATATATATGTTTCATTCACTAATCAAGTTCAGCTTTCTTGTGATGAATCCTCTGACCCTTATGTTATAAATGTAAACTTTACAATGGAGTGAGCTGATCGTAAGCTCTGATATTTGGTTGTCCATATGCCAAATAATAATCTTCTCAACTGTTTATTGATCTAACATCTGATAGAATTCCACTGTTACTGAATGAAGTTCTTTTTTTCTATAAAAAAAAAAGAATAGAGCTTGTTTTATCTCTGAACCTTGGTTTTTACCTTTAATTTTGTTTACAAAGGAACATTAATGTTCATTATATTCTAGTTAATGTCACTGGTGTATTACAAACAACTGTATTAGACCAAAAATTGTTCTAAAAGTTGGCTCATTTTAATTACTGAGTTATAAGGATTAGCAAATGTTTTTCTAAAATGTTCCTAATAAAGTGTTGCTTTATTGAAATCCTTTATCTAGCTCATTTATATAAAGAGGGCTCAAATCCAAAGCTTTAAATATGTATTTTCCAACTGTGATGATGTGAAAACGATGGAATCACAATTCAAAGAGACTCCAACGCTTAAACTCTGTAACAGGGTGGAATACCATTTATCTTCTCAAATATTCTTTAAAAATAGTGTGATACATGCAATGTATCTATTAATCGTACATGCTCTCTTACATGTGATGGACAGATGACTTGGTATTTTATCTGTGTCATAGATGCAGGGATGTTGCACTAGATTATGTTGGGTATGTGTTTCTTAAAAATTCGGGAGTCATGTCAGATCAAGGGCTTTATAGTACAGCTCACAATGCATCATTTTGGTAATGGCTCAAGTCAATTTAAATGAAAAGCAAACAGGTCTTTAACTCCAGTCATTTAGGGCTTATATACAGGAAATTTTAGATGTTTCTCTGCTTCAACAAGCGCAAATTAAATAATCATGTCATTTCGAAGACTTGGAAGAATATTACTGCATATTGTGGATATAATTTGACAATTTGATTCAGGTGTGTTGGATCAGAGTCGCATCTAAACATTCTAGTAAACTCAAGGAGTCGAGTTGAAATCCCTGTACCCTAAAAGGGGAAAGCAGCTTCAATTTAACTACATTTCTTCAGTTACCTTACTTGATGTATTTACAATGGTTTAACTAGAGAACTTATAAACTTAATAAATCAAGCTGCAGAAACTGAAATCAATTACTTATCAATCGAAGTACTCCAAGTTGGAGCTGCATTCTCTTTAGAATGTGAGCTAAAAATATTACATTACAGAGCTTAAATGCAATATTAAGGTGATGGATCTACATATCTGTCATGATTAGATGGCATTTCTTATTAACACTACAAGCTTTCCAACAAGCATAATAGCTTGAAATCCACATGAAGATAAATGTTTAGAAATGCTTAAATGTTGTGTTATCACACAAGGGCCAAGTCCAACCTCCCAGAGCTATTATTCTGCAACTTTAGATGTGTAACCATTCCAGCAAACTTAAATCTTAACACTGAATACCCTCATCAGCATGTTAAGCAGCTCTGTAGAGGACTGATAACAAGCTTGTTGATTTGATGCTGGTATGATGACGAAAGTATACAATGAAGTTGAACGGTAGCTCAGTAGAGTTTCACTTTATACTACGTAAAAACTTTGCAACAAAACTGTTATATTTATATTCAATGGAAGATGGATAAACAACTTTTATGTTATTTTAACTGTACTTACACTGCTAATGTTACATCTCAGACATGCACCGTTAGTGAATTTAGTTTAGCAGTACAGAAATGTTAGAAAACATTGCGATAATTGTACAAGCAGTTGAATGCATGGGTATTCAGAAGGATTTGCATAGTACACCATAGCTAGTTAAATCATAATATGCAGCTTTATTAAGCAACAGATTTTCATTGTTTCCTGTAATAGAAAAGGTTAAAGAAAAATGAACTATTTTGTAAAATAAGGTCACATAAACTGCTTTTTATTGTGATCACTGACTTAAGCATAACTCAGACTGTATTGAAAATCAGAATTTACAAATAAATCAGTAAAAAAAAAAAACACAATATTTGGACAGAATACAAAAAATGGATTTGATTTCACCCAAAATATCCTTTGCTTGCTACAATGCATGAATGCATGTGTATTGGGTACCTGTAAGACATGGCTTGGCTATTCAGTGAAATTATCAACAGAAACAGAAACACTGTGCTTAAATTTTTCCTTTTATTGCGAGCACTTCCTAGATAATTTGGAGTATTTCTTCTCTTAATCTCATATACAAATCTGCTGCAACAAGTGGATCTCTTGGGGCATCCCAGTCATTTTCTGCCATGAGCAGACAACAAAGTTCAAAGACGGTTTCATCACAGGGATATTGGCCTTTTGGCGTACACTCCTCAGAACACACAATGATCTCATCTGTGACAACTGGTTTCAGTCTATCCTCTGCCCTGTGCAGCTCTGGAAATGAGTACATCACTACTGGTCGACCTGATGTTGCACTAGCACTTGGCCGGATTTTGTGTGAGTTCCATGTGTTCACAACGTCATCAAGTTCATCCTGCAAAAAAAAAAAAAAACAGAACAGAGTAAATTTATGAAACAGACCATATAACCATGCAGCAACAGAAATATAGCACATTCAGCTAACAGCACATGTGGAATGAGTATGAAGCAAATTTCTCTTTTTAATATTTAAACAAGCAAAAAAAAAATTCAATTAAAACATTTTTGGGAACAAAACCTTTTAAATGGAAATGAGATGTATTTATGTATTTTTAAAAGTTCTGTTTGCAAACCGGTTTTTTAAATTACATTGTTTGATTAAATAATAAAATAATTCCTTCGATAAACAGAGGTGAAAAAAGGTATAGTAAGTGTGCAACCCTTCCTCAATATATTTTATTCAGCATTCCTTAATTAATAAAAATAAAACTAAAGTATTTAAAGCAATATCATATTAAGCCACTAAAGGACACTTGTCACAGCCAGGTTTAGCACCCCTGATAGTAAATGGGAAGACGGCACTGTAGCTAAGTTAACCTGTGTTTTTGGATGTGTTAGCACAACCCTTTGAACAAGCAGATTGAGATGTCATGGAGTTACTTGTAAAACCAAAGCTACATTTACCCCTTTAGATTAACTACTTTATCAGAGAACTGAAATATTTCTGATCAGGTGTAAAATCTGTTTTGCTGCCTAGCAACACCTTTTATCTTAGTTAGCTCATGTATTTAAGTGGAGCCAAGACTGCCATAAAGCTGCGCTCTGTGTTACGTGACTCATTCAGTGATGGATCCAACCGTCCCTGGTCACATTGGTGAGTTTTGAGAAGGGCAAATCATAAATCTTAAATTAAACTGGTACTTGGGTCAAAAGTTACACAGTACTGCTTTCAATAGAGGTAAAACTGTTTGTCATGAAAAGACCTATCACTTCAGATAACTATGCTGCAACTTATAACTTTTCTACTTTAAAAACAGAGGCAATACACAGCATTAGAACAAAATATTACCTGAATAAGATTAAGAAAGCAGAATTGGAGAAGACTTTTGTCCAAAAAATCTCCTGTGAAGTGACCATCATCCTGGAAAGTTTGAAATAAGCTAATCCAAAACTGTGCACTCTGTTTGCGGAGGGTAGCCCACCAGCCTTCTATACGCTGGTTGGCTGTACTTCTTCCATAAATGAAACTTTTTTCTCCTGCAAAATTGTCTGCGTGGTTTCTCCGCAGAAAAATCTGCATTTGTTCAACAGAACTGTTTTCTGTGCCTCTGTCAGCACGGATCCTCTCTGGACATCCATTGGCAAAAGAAACTGTTTTCAGAAAATAACTTGCAATCAATTTAGGATCATTGTTTGTGGTATAAGCCTCCATCCATAAAACATAGCGGCTAAAACCATCTATACAGCCACTGATAGCAATGCCATAGGGTTTTAGCTTATCGTAACCATCCATGTGCCAAAGAGCATTTGGTCCTCTGCAGTTGTACTGACGTCTTCTTAACCGTCGAGCTCGTCTCAGTTCCACACCTTGTGGGTCAACCAGTTTGATTATCCTTCTTACAGTGTCTTGTGACACCACAAATCCATATTGAACAGCACGAAGATGTAGCCAACGATATCCTTGCATCTGTCCATTGGTCATAATTTGTTGTTGGATAAAAGCTAACACTTCTTCCAGGCTTGACTGATTCTTCCTTCTGAACAGCCCAAGTCTTTTACAAATTCTCTTTAAAGTTCGAATGCTTATTACAGTCTGATAACTGTGTGCTAATATTGCAAGTATTTCTTTGTTACTGAAGGAAAGCCTGAAGTACAGTCTGACTAGCTCATCCAAATCTGACATCTTAGGAACAAGGACTTTCACTTTCAGAGGTTCTGCAGAAGTCCTTGTTTTCTTTTTGAGGGTTGTTGTTTGCTCCTGCAGAAATTGAAGAGGACAATTCGGTCTCCATAGGAGGGGATGTAATTTGCCAGAGTTGCATCATCCATCAGCGCTATGACATCACAGTCGATCTAAGCACAAAGAACAAGAAAATTATTAGTTTTGAAAATATTTTCCCTACAAATCAATTAGAGCACCCTTAACATTGCACCCATAGATGGGAAAACTGACTGTAAATAACATAAGGGCTACCTACTGTTTTGAGGAGGGATACAAATAATGGAAGAAGGGAGCTTTAATGTACCCTTTAAGGAAATTGATCACTAATTATAAAAAAAAAAAGAAAATAATTCATTGTGATGTAAAAAGAGATTACGACTTACAGTCCATTTAAGGTAAAAAGTATTACAGGTAGAACACACAAACATTAACATTTTAAATCATCCCAAAGGTATCATGTTATTTTTTATCTCTACATCCATCCATCCATCTATCCACCCATTCATCCCAACATTCTGCGTTCCCACTGGTTGCACTAACGTCATCACGCCACCCTGTGGTCACAGTTCAAAGCTACAGTGGGTTCCGACAATCATGTTTTTAAAAAATGTATAAAAAGTTTAAGCACCGCATTGTTTGATTTAGTGAGCTGTTACTGTAGCCTACCACCGTCACATTTATGTAATGTTTCTTAAATAACTCTCGGTCTGCTAGACATTGGCCGCTGAATATCAGCCCAAACAGCTGATATTAGGACCGGTGGCTAGCCATCTTAGCTCCAGGTCTTAACAGTCAAATGTAAAACACAGTGAAAGTAAAACATTTCAAATTATAAATCTAACCCTAGCTTTCGCTGTTAAACCGGTGACTCTGTTGTCTATTATGTTGACAATCTCTATCGACTTAATCTAACAAACATGTTAGCATAAAGCTGTAGCCGTGTCTATTTATAGACTACTCTCTTGTTTTACTCACCTTCTGCTCTTCCATTAATGAAATGGCATCATCGGGGACTCCTCTGGCACGTAAAAAGTCACCTAATTCCGTCATTTTCCACCAGGCCGTCCCAAACTACTTGTATCTTTGGCAATGAAGCTTAGTGCTGCCACATCTCTTCCTGCATGGTGCGCATCTGCATTAAGATCCAAAATTCTGAGATTAAAGTCAGAATTCTGAGATTAAAGTCAGAATTCTGAGAAAAAAGTCAGAATTCTGAGATTAAAGTCAGAATTCTGAGAAAAAAGTCAGAATTCTGAGAAAAAAGTCAGAATTCTGAGATTAAAGTCAGAATTCTGAGAAAAAAGTCAGAATTCTGAGATTAAAGTCAGAATTCTGAGATTAAAGTCAGAATTCTGAGATTAAAGTCAGAATTCTGAGAAAAAAGTCAGAATTCTGAGATTAAAGTCAGAATTCTGAGAAAAAAGTCAGAATTCTGAGATTAAAGTCAGAATTCTGAGAAAAAAGTCAGAATTCTGAGATTAAAGTCAGAATTCTGAGATTAAAGTCAGAATTCTGAGATTAAAGTCAGAATTCTGAGAAAAAAGTCAGAATTCTGAGATTAAAGTCAGAATTCTGAGAAAAAAGTCAGAATTCTGAGATTAAAGTCAGAATTCTGAGATTAAAGTCAGAATTCTGACTTTTTTCCCATACTAAACTGAAATTTTTTTTTTTTAAATCAGTTAACTTTTTTTTTTTTTTCAGTGGCCCTAATCCTCTTCCGTATTATTCTAACATTCCCATTTTTATTTTTATTTTGCAGATAATAATAATAATGGAAAACAATCTTAATATTATAATTTTTATTCAGTTTGAGAAAAAAAAAGAATAAGAAACACAGTATTTGTTGAAGTTGCTGATGTTATTGGATTATTATATAACTTAATATATAATAAGATCAACAGATTTTGTGAATCCATACTTGACTTTTTTAACATAATACTAGACGGCGGATATGTATTTTGTCTTTTTGTTTTTTATTATGTTAAACCATAAGATTAGTTATTATGGAATCAAATCAGAGCACTTTGGCAATATCAATTTATGAGCTTTCCTGGATCCATTTGGCATGGATATTATCTGACACAAAGGAGCCCCTTTCTTAAAATAGAAAACTAAGGAGAGCATGCTATTTAAAGAAATGAAACTATAATAATCTGGGCTGGATAAGGTTTGAAGTTTAACAACAGGAGAGATTTTTGTACAGCAATAAAAATTGTATGCATTCAAAAATAGTGTACATTTTATTAGAGATGCTAATAACTACATATAACATTATAAGGCTTTAAAAGGACTATACAGTATAACGTGTGCATTTATCTGAATATACAACCTGTGATTTGGAATCCAATTACTTTACTATGCGTGACATTCCTGTCACAATACCTATAAAATGTTTTGACATGACATAAAGTAAAACCTTCTCTTTATATCCCCAGCTTGCTGTTGTTACTGGACCAATAAACAATCCCTGGGCTCTCCATATGTATAAGATCTCCTCTCAGGTTACAGCCAGTACATGTCACAGTGAGAATAAGGGAGGATTTTATTTGAAACTGCCTCATAAACCCTAGATCTTGCAACAGTGACACTGCTCAATTGGAAGAAAACCATCTTTGTGTAAATGTGCGCCAATATGGAAAATGAAAGATAGTTAATAAAAAAGCAGTGGTAAATCAATGGAAGCCATAAAAGTTACAGGGTGATATTAAAATGTAGAGGGTGAAGGTGGGGGGAGGCAGGAAATAGTTGCATTTACATGCTGGGCTTAAATTATCATGTTAATTTAATATCTAGTCTTCAAATGAAGCAGAAATCCCAATAAAAGTCAATTAAGCAAGTGGCCTCCCATTTCCATTTAGAATTTTATGGTCCCATTTAAATCCTGGTGCTGGATCCACTGGCTGGCTGTTGGAGGCCTATGGGAGCAAATGGTGACATGGGCTTTTTTCATCTTAGTCGAAAATGATGGATAGTTGGGATTAGGATCCTGCTGTGATTTAGGCAGCACATTATAGCGACACAGTCATTATTAGAAAAGATGAGGACAAACAGATCAAAAGTGTAAATTGGAAGGCAAAATACTTTGAAACTGCCTCAACAGACAAACTAAAATCTTGAGACAGAGTTTATTTGCATTTTTTTTTCTTCTTAATTAGTGCAAAGCTTGAGTAATACTGCAACTGCATGAAGTTGTGAGGCTCAGTCTGAATGCACCTTACCTCTAACTGTTAACCTTATACCCATGCAGAAGCAAATATTTTTCGAGCAGATGTAAAGTTTAGCTGTACATTTTGTAGTGAAACAGATTACTTTGAGATATAATTTTTCTCTTAAATAACTATGAATTAATCCTAATTTTATCGCCAGTTGAAATACATTTGTGCAACCTAAAAATGCAACTCAGAAGAAGGAAAAGAATCACAACCAGTTACTCAAATAATCTCTAATACAAGCAAATGTTGACTTTGGATTTGATTGCTTTAAATTCAGGACTGGATGGCAAAATAATAATCAATAATTAAGAGATTAAAAAAAGTGCAGACCTTGATCCTTCCATAGAAGGTTTTCTTTATTGAAGTGGAAATGTAGTTTTTCTGGTTTGTTGTTCCAATAAGTATTCTAAAATTTCAAGACATACACTATATTGCCAAAAGTATTTGCTCACCTGCCTTGACTCACATATGAGCTTAAGTGACATCCCGTTCCTAATCCATAGGGTTCAATATGACGTCGGTCCACCCTTTGCAGCTAGAACAGCTTCAACTCTTCTGGGAAGGCTGTCCACAAGGTTTAGGAGTGTGTTTATGGGAATTTTTGACCATTCTTCCAGAAGCGCATTTGTGAGGTCGCACACTGATGTTGGACGAGAAGGCCTGGCTCTCAGTCTCCGCTCTAATTCATCCCAAAGGTGTTCTATCGGGTTGAGGTCAGGACTCTGTGCAGGCCAGTCAAGTTCATCCACACCAGACTCTGTCATCCATGTCTTTATGGACCTTGCTTTGTGCACTGGTGCACAGTCATGTTGGAAGAGGAAGGGGCCAGCTCCAAACTGTTCCCACAAAGTTGGGAGCATGGAATTGTCCAAAATGTCTTGGTATGCTGAAGCATTCAGAGTTCCTTTCACTGGAACTAAGGGGCCAAGCCCAGCTCCTGAAAAACAACCTCACACCATAATCCCCCCTCCACCAAACTTTACACTTGGCACAATGCAGTCAGACAAGTACCGTTCTCCTGGCAACCGCCAAACCCAGACCCGTCCATCAGATTGCCAGATGGAGAAGCGCGATTCGTCACTCCAGAGAACGCGTCTCCACTGCTCTAGAGTCCAGTGGCGGCGTGCTTTACACCACCGCATCCGACGCTTTGCATTGCACTTGGTGATGTATGGCTTGGATGCAGCTGCTCGACCATGGAAACCCATTCCATGAAGCTCTCTGCGCACTGTTCTTGAGCTAATCTGAAGGCCACATGAAGTTTGGAGGTCTGTAGTGATTGACTCTGCAGAAAGTTGGCGACCTCTTCGCACTATGCGCGTCAGCATCCGCTGACCCCGCTCCGTCAGTTTACGTGGCCTACCTCTTCGTGGCTGAGTTGCTGTCGTTCCCAAACACTTCCATTTTCTTATAATACAGCTGACAGTTGACTGTGGAATATTTAGGAGCGAGGAAATTTCACGACTGGATTTGTTGCACAGGTGGCATCCTATCACAGTTCCACGCTGGAATTCACTGAGCTCCTGAGAGCGACCCATTCTTTCACAAATGTTTGTAAAAACAGTCTGCATGCCTAGGTGCTTGAATTTATACACCTGTGGCCATGGAAGTGATTGGAACACCTGATTCCAATAATTTGGATGGGTGAGCAAATACTTTTGGCAATATAGTGTAGCTATAAAGCTAAAATTAGATCTATGTTAGAAGAAAAATAAAATTTGTGTGGACTAATCATATATATATATATGAAAAGATAAACCTATTAAAATAATTTTATCCTTGATTTGGGCTTGGATTTGTACAATTTACACCTCTACAATTTTTAAAACCCCCTTCACCATATAATAAAGCTGAAGATACGCTGCTCTCAGATGTTGACATCCTATGTTTTTAGATAGATTGCAATAATAAAATAAACTTTGTTTTGTTTTTATATGAAACCAACTTGAATGAACACAGATAACCTTTTTACATTTTATTTCTTTTTTACTTTTTTCCCAGCGTATTTCAAATTAAACTTCATGGCGGAATGTAATATAAATGTCTAAATTAATATTCATAGACAAAAGAAATGCTCATAGTCTTAGAAATCTATAACAAGCATAATCATGAATGGATGATTGCATTTGGGTCAATATAAAAACCCTCAGTGGAACACATACAACCCTGAATCAATGAAGAGTGGTGGATTAAATTTAATTTCCATTGATATTTCTTCACATATATGAAAGCTGCCTTTTTTTGCACAGACAGTGCAGCGTCTCTTCCTCCAGGGTAGAGCCATTGATCAAGCCAACTCTAATGGTCTTAAGAAAAACCTGCTAATTTATCAAATAACTTCAACATAATGACATCTCATCTTCTTCTAGCTCTCTATCAAGAGTGGTAACATCAATTTTATATTGGCATTTGCTGACATAATGGTGACCCACCAGTCAAAAGAATGATGAATAATTCTGTCATAAGCACATCTTTCATCGACCGGTTATTGACCAGTGCAGTAAGGTCTGCTGCATTTACATTGCTTTATTCAGAACATAGTCTACTGAATAAATCCCCCAACAGCCGTAGTTAAATGGGTTGAAGTTTATGAACATAAGGAGATCATCTGCTGCTATACCATGCAGTATGCTTCAAGATGAACAAAGGCAATCTAAAAGTAACACTTATTAAAGTCCAAATATGTAGAATATATATTGCTAGGAGTTGTTTCTGTTCTGTCAGATATTAGGTCTAGGATGGCATACACATGACTTGGACCTTTTAAATAAATGTACGATTTAAGTGGCTTTCCTGCATCTTCAAACTGAAGGTTCGACTTTTAGCAAGAATATTTTGATTATTGAACAAGCAAATGTTTTCACATTCTACAATTTCAAAGTCTGTAATGTGATTCTCATCATATAAATGATCCTAACAATTAATTTAAAACTAAGTAGGCCTACCCATT